ATCTCGGCAACATCGCACTAGTATTTAGATGGTGTTTGAAGCGTTTCCTTGCGAGAAGGAAGGGAAGAGGGGAGATTCAGAAAATGCCACGAAAGACACAAGAGGGTCTAGGAAAGAGTGATATTCTGCTGCTGCCGGATAGATAGCAAGGAAGAGGAGCGCGAAAAGAGGAATGAAGGGAGGAAAAAGGAGGAAAGGTATATTAACTGAGGTGTCACGGCATGGCGCGACTGCTCGATGAATAGCCTGGGATGGCGGGAAACGAAAAAGCCTTTGTCAAATCAGATGCGAGCATCTGTTGCAGCGGCATCTTTGTTGGGAATTTGCTTATTTTACTCCCGTGGGCGACGGACGCCATGCACGGAGGGTACGAGGCAGGAATGGATGGGACGGAGAGAGGGAGAAATGGATGGGGGGAAAGAGCGACATGTGAATTCTTCAGAAAGTATGCATGAGAGCGCACCCCCTCTGCTCTCGATCATCCCCTCCCCCCTCCTCCCTTCTCATCACTACTCTTCTTGAAGCCACCTTAAGTGATTTTCCTCGCCGTATCCTCTCTCCAATCCCATCACAGGTTTCACGCATCTAACGGTTACGACCAGGACAAAGAAGGCGCCCCTTTTCTCCCTATCTATCTCCCTCCCTCCCTCTTTCCCTCCCTCCTCCCCTCCCACACTCTCCTTTTCCTCCCTGTCCCTGGTTCTTCCCTCCCTCCTCCTCTCCCACACTCTCCCTCCAGGCTGTCTCGGTGTAGGTGGTCGAAAGAACATGGCGTTTTTTGGATGTGCGGTTGCCCGGGATCGGGCCGAAGCCGTTGTGACGGGTACAGGAGTGCTTATGGAGCTGAACAAAATCGCCCAGAGCATCGGGTACCGCTTTTCCTCCTTCCCATCCTCCTTCTACCCCACCCTCCTTCCCTCCTTCCCTCCTTCCTTCCCTCCCTTCTACTCTAAATCGCCCAGAGCATCGGATTCCGCTTTCCCTCCCTCTCACCCTCCTTTCACCCCACCTTCCTTCCCTCCTTCCTTCCCTCCCTCCTTCCCTCCCTCCCTTCTAAGACCTCGGGAG